TACTCTCACAACGGGGAGCTCTGCTCAGCCACAAGCCAGGCTGATGGCTGCCAGTACAGTGCTGGTGGTGGGAGCCTCTCCTGCATCCTCAGCAGCGCTAAGGATGTCTGACTGCAGCTTGGTTCTGCTCCTCGCTGGCAAGTGGACATCCTCTGAGGGCTGCCAGGCTGCCAGAAGGATGTCTGATTGCCATCTTAGGCCCAGTCCCCTGGGGAGCAGGCCTCAGCCAGCAGGTGGTCATCCTCTGAGGGGTCCCAGACTGAGAGGGCACAGGCCGGGCTGAGGGATTCCCCCCTGCCCCACCCAGGGCACAAATTTCTGTGCACCGGGCCTCTAGTATTACAATAAAAAGAAATTATCCTGCTCTAGCCGGTTTGGCTCAGTGGGTAGAGCATCGACCTGTAAAACAAAGGGTCCCAGCTTTGATTCCAGTCAAGGGCACATGCCCTGGTTGCGGGCTCGGTCCCCACTAGGGAGCATGCAGGAGGCAGCTCATCAATGATTCTCTCTCATCATTGATATTTCTATCTCTCTCTCCCTCTTCCATCCTCTCTGAAATTAATAAAAAAATATTTTAAAAAATTATTCCAGAAATTTTAGTTTTTATCAGTAGAAATAATTAATCTTAATTCCCTTTTAATTCTTCAAAGACTATCGATCTTCTCTTTTCCTATGTATATATTTACTCTGGTCAGGAGTACCCCTGTGATCTTGCTGTTTACTAAGATCAATCATAATGACACCTCAAACATTACATTAGTTTTTGAATTTTAGCTTCTTTGGGTATCAGATAAAGGGAAGTCTTCTGCGCACATCTTGTCTATACTCAAATAGGCTGTAGAAAGATATCCAACTGGTAACCAAAGAAAGACACTAAGACTATTTGGAGTAAAAAGTATTTTTATCAAATAAAGATTCAACTTAAAGTCTAGAGCTCATGCTGCTGGAAAAGACTGTAAAACAACCTCAACGAGGAAACAGATTGGAAACAAAATGATGAGCCCTTCACAGGAAAGACACACAGCTATTCTCATTCTTGGCAGAGGGATGGGAAGAGGACTATGCTATAAATATGACAGATGGGAATCCCAGGGACCCCCAGCCAGGGGATGAGTTTTCACTCACCCACAAACTCTCCTATAGATCTTCACTTAATGCTTGGGTGTAATTCACCAAAAGTCTTGGGGCAAGGCAGGGGAGCTGGGGGATCCCTTTGAAGCATTCAGGGCCTCTTGCAACTATCTATATATATAAAAGCCTAAGGCCGGCCCAGACCGCCTGGTAGCTATTACGCACAATGACCACCACGGGGCAGACACTCAATGCAGGAGTTGCCAAGCTGTGGTGACTTGGCAGCTGTGGTTCTCGGGTGACGCACCTGGAGCCCGAGAGGAGGGAGCCCGATTCCAGGGTGCATCACCCGAGAATCACCCTCTCTCAATCCAGGACCCCTTAGGGGTATCAGAGAGCCAGTTTTGGCCCGATCCCTGCAGGCCAGGCTGAAGGACCCTAGTAACACATAACCCTCTGAAGACAGGCAGCGGGCAGGCAGCAAGGCAGCAAAGTTGAGAGAAATCATCTGCATTCTGGATTCTCAGGTTCATAGGCTGGGAGTGGGATAAGAGAGCGGAGAGAAACTTTCCCTCTGAGACAGGTTTGGCCTTTACCCCATGGTAAAGCAGTCCCCTGCCAAGATGGGGAGAGGGAAGCAGGAGAGAAAGATAGGTCCGCCGGTTTGACTCAGCAGATAGAGCGTCGACCTGTGGACCCAAGCGTCCCAGGTTTGATTCTGGAGAAGGGCATATGCCTGGGTTGTGGGCTTGATCTCCAGTGGGGGGCATGCAGGAGGCAGCTAATCAATGATTCTCTTCATCACTGATATTTCTATCTCTTTCTCCTTCTCCCTTCCTCTCTGAAATAAATTAAAAAATATGTAAAAAAAAAGAAGCAGTGAACTTGAAGAAAGTGAAGAGCATGTATACAAACTGAAGTACAAAGATAGAAACAGAGTGAAAAACAATGAACAGGTGGTCTGAGATCTCTGGGACAATATTAAATGGTGTCATGTATATGTTTTTGGAATCCTAGAAGGAGAAGAAAAGAGAATGGTGCACAAGAAATATTGGAAGAGATAATGTCCAAGAACATCTGTGGGAAGCATGCCAGAGTTGCCGGATAGTCAAGACCAAGTATAGTGTGAAAGGCCCTATTTACAGTATGCCGGATGGCCAAGGCCACTCTGAGCATGGGAATCTTAATCAGGGTGTCCTAAGACTGTGCCCTTTTATAACCCATATGATTGATATCACTGTTGGCAAGAGGCCTCTTTTTGTCTAAGTGATATAATACGTTACTGACCAGCTAGTGCAGCCGTGGGCAAACTACGGCCCATGGGCCGGATCCGGCCTGTTTGAAATGAATAAAACTAAAAAAAAAAAAAGACCGTACCCTTTTATGTAATGATGTTTACTTTGAATTTATATTTGTTCACACAAACACTCCATCCATGCTTTTGTTCCGGCCCTCCGGTCCAGTTTAAGAACCCATTGTGGCCCTTGAGTCAAAAAGTTTGCCCACCCCTGAGCTAGTGTGTGGAAAAGACTGGAGAGACTAGAGAGACTACTGAGGCTGCTTAGGGGAGAGCTCAGGTGACACTACTATGTGAGGCAATGGGTCTAGAGCAGTGGTTCTCAACCTTCCTAATGCCGTGACCCTTTAATACAGTTCCTCATGTTGTGGTGACCCCCAACCATAAAATTATTTTCGTTGCTACTTCATAACTAACTTTGCTACTGTTATGAATCGCCATGTAAATATCTGATATGCAGGATGTATTTTCATTGTTGCAAATTGAACATAATGAAAGCATAGTGATTAATCACAAAAACAGTATGTCATTATATATGTGTTTTCCGATGGCCTTAGGCAACCCCTGTGAAAGGGTCATTCGACTCCAAAAGGGATCGCAACGCACAGGTTGAGAACCGCTGGTCTAGAGGCAGCATGCAGCTGCTCAGGTAGTAGTTGTGCGTACATAGGCTACTGCTACTATGTGAGAAAGATGTATTTTTTCATCAGCTGGTGTGTGGCTGCCTGTATGAGACTGTTCTGAAGAACTGTTTTGTCTAATGGTTTTATGGCCACTAGCTTCTGTAATACTCTTTCTTATACACCAACAACTTCACATGGCTTCTCTATCTACTACCCTGCGTCCAAGAAGGTCCACCCAGGAACAGGGGGGCTCCGACCCAACAGTTAGCATAGTAGGGCAGGATCAGGACCTATACTCCCACACTTGGACTAGTCAGCAGAATAGAGCAGTGAGTGCTCTCACAATTAGTGCTATGAGCACGATTTAGGAGTAAGCTCTCCCACTAGAATTAGATCCTGCTCTGACATCCCCAAATTAGTAAAGTACATAATCCCCCAAATCCAAGAAGCTCAGTTGAACCTCAACAGGATAAATACAGGGTGGGGCAAAACTAGGATTATACCTGCGAGTATGCAAAACAGAGTTTATTCTTGTATTATTAATTATTGTATCTTTTCCATACAAACAACTGTAAGCCTACTTTGGCCCCACCCTGAGCGCCAACAAGAACTTTATCTCAGTTATTTAAGTATATCACAATCTTCTGACTTCCATTCATATCATCTAATTGTTGTATTCTTTGTTTATAAATTGTATTTCCTGTTTGAATATTTTTGATATCTCTTATTAGTTTCTGATACCATGCAATATCATTATTTTGTGTCTCAGTGGGCTTTCTTTTTCCCTATATCAATCAGAATTTATTAGTATTTCAGGATTGACTATTGATATCTTTATTTAACTCTGAAAACTTCTCAGCTCTTTCCCAGTCTATCTAAACTTTTATTTTGGAATTCTGGTTAGATGTGTACTGGATTTTCTCTTTTTCATTCATCTTTCTCTTCTACTCTCTCTTTTTGTTTGTTTTCCATCACCTTTTATCTCATCTTTTCATTTTGTTTAATTTCTTATCTAATTTACAATTTAATTATTTTTGTTGTATGCAGTCTCCTATTTAAGCTTTCCGTTGAATTTTATATTTCAGTTATTAATTTTATCTAAGCTTATTACATGAAATGTTATATTTCAACATTTATTTTTGCATATTAATATGTTTTGAAATAGAATTCACATACAGAAAATGGACCAAATGGAAATATATGTAGCTAAAAGACTTATCACAAAGCAGAATCTAACAAATGGAATCTTGTCAGAACCCCCAAATGCCACTGATATTATTTCCCAATCACTACGTCTTTCCTTTCAGGATAACCACTATCCTAAATTTTATGGTAATGAATTCCTTGCTTTTAGTATTACTCTTTGCCTTGCTATTTGATAGACTTTTAAAAAAATGTTTTCTATTTTCTTTTCAATTTATTTAAATCCAATAAAAATATTTCATATTTGTCTGTCCCAATATCTGATGTCCTTGCAGGGTTGACTCTGCTCTTTATTGTTTCTGCTGACTCCTGTGACATCTTATTTCTTCAGATATTTTGCCATTTTTGAACAGGAGCTCAATTTTGCCAGAATATTATTTGTGGAAAATTTCCAAAGCCTGACCTTATGGTTTGTCCCTGCAGAAAGGATTTGTGTTTGCTTCTGCCTGGCACTAGGCTTGATATTTCTTGGCCCACTGTGAATTTGGGCCCCAAAGTCCATGTGGGTTGGATTTTGGTCAGGAATTCCAAAGACAGGCTTCGTCTGGCCTTTTAAGAGTTAAAGCTGAGATACATTTAATTATGTTGGGAAATTTTGGAAGGTA